ATTACATTAAAATAACAGATAAAAAAACAGAAGAAAAAAAACGGATAAAAAAATACAGGAAAAAAAAAACAGATAAATCAGTGATCCCCCGGAACTCGGTAATGACCCCCGGTTCCGCATCCCCGTCCTCGCCTTTCTCGTGCTAGGTGTCGTCGTGTTTCCTGCTGCGGCAATATCGATGGCCCAACGAAGTCAATGCGGTCCGGATCCATAAAATCAGTCAGATCTCCATATCTAGAAGATCCACTTTGGTGCAGTCGGTTACCCATACCCTCAAAGTTTGGTCGTGTTGGCGGTGGGTGGGGTTCCATAGTGGGTCTGTAGCATTGATCGTCTGAGTACGGTGGGTAGAAAGGAAATGGATCTTGGGGTGTTTGGTATTGAGGATGTTGGGTGGTTTGGTGATATTATGGTTGATGGTAGGTTGGGTCGGTTTGTTCGTAATCTTCCGACATTCCCATATCAGGGCTAAGGCTGGATGTTGAGGGGCCCATATTGGGATATGCGGAAGACTGAAATTGTGTGTGGGGTATGCGGGTGTGAGAGATGTATGATATGGTATGTATTTATAGGCAAATAAATTTCATATAGTGGTTGCTGGTGCTTGCATGCCTGCGAAGTGTCACTCTTGCATGCTAGGTGGCAGCCTAGGGGGTTACATATATGAATGCATGCATGTACAAAAAATGAAAGGTGTCACTCTTGCAGGCTAGGTGGTAGCCTAAGGATGTACCACGATTGGACAGTAAGGGAGGCACCATTGGACTTGGCGAAAGAGTACAAAAATGAATGGTGTCGCCACCCCAATTGGCGAATAAGAGGTGTCCTTTGTTGCAGCCTAGGCTCAGGCTACGTGACAGCCTTTGGGATTCCTTGCCTGAGTGCATGTAAGCCCATTGTAGGTGATGGGAGGAGACTTACAACATACATGTATAGATGCAGACTATGGGCAGGCTAGGTGGCAGCCTAGGGGGTTACATATCTGCATGTATGTACCACGATTGGACAGTAAGGGAGGCGCCATTGGACTTGGCGAAAGAGTACAAAAATGAATGGTGTCGCCACCCCCAATTGGCGAATAAGAGGTGTCCTTTGTTGCAGCCTAGGCTCAAGCTACGTGACAGCCTTTGGGATTCCTTGCATGTAACATTATTGGCAGCCTTGGGGGGTTGCATCCTTACTTAATTGAAATTTTTAGTCCTACGTTTATCATAACATTGATTCACATAATCTGTCAAATCTTTCAACCTTCAAACGTTCTTACAACCAAACCTTCAAACCTGCAAACAATCAATAAACCTCAAACATTCCAACCTTTGAATCACTCATAAAATTCAAACATTCCAACCTTCAAACCTTCATACAATCAATAAACCTCAAACATTCCAACCTTTGAATCACTCATAAAATTCAAACATTCCAACCTTCAAACATTCCAACCTTCAAACCTTAAAACAATTCTACGCAATGGCCTCCGCACCACAATTTGTCGTCAAAGCACATTTCAACGGTGAGACATACATTTGTCCCACCGCTGAGTTTTTGTTTAGAGACACAGACAACATCTGATTTCTCTTAAACGGGAAAGCCAATTTCTCGTACTTCAAAAAAAGATTGGAGGCCAAACTTGAACGAGGCCCGGTGTCCCAGGTATTTTATTAGAATCCAGTTTTCTTTGGAAACAACCAAGTAATTTTTTATAAGGTTGAAGTTCAAGATGACGAGGATCTCCAGAATATGTTTTCCAGCCATGTCTATTCTGGGTACGACTCTATTGAGTTGTACGTTATGCTGCGAGAGCCTCAACCTCAGGTGACACAGGAGGTTGATCCTTTGGAGAATGAACAAGCTGAGGTAGATGCAGTTGATGATGAAGAAGAAGATAACGAGTTAGAGTTTGACGAAATGGTGAATGATGATTCCGACGATGATGGCATCCCAAGTATTCCTGCAAACAAAATCTACACACCACCTCCGCACATGACAAACTTCAACATGGGCGGAGATGAACCTTCTACTGACTTATTTTTCAATCCGTATATGCAGTCGGATGAAAATTTAAAAGAGAAGGACAAGTTTCGTAACAGAGAGGAATGCATCAGGGCCATTAAAAAATTCCACATGCTCAACTCGGTTGATTTTAAGGTGGATCGTGTCAACCCGGAAAAGTACAAGATCAAGTGTGTCCACCCTGACTGTATGTTCAAGCTGACCGCATCATACAGATTAAGGGGTGATTGCTGGGTCATAGGTTCCATGACTACCCACACTTGTGTAAGTTCCACTCAATCACAGGACCACCGAAAACTCAACTATGATCTAATCTGTCAAGAAATCCTACCCCTGGTCAGCAATGACCCATCTTTGAAGGTGAAAACAATCATCTCCCACGTCACCATGGTTTTTAACTACACTCCGTCTTACCGTAAGGCGTGGTTAGCAAAGACTAAGGCGATTGAAAGGGTGTACGGAAACTGGGAGGAGTCATACCAAGAACTTCCCCGCTACCTGAATGCACTCAAGACGTATTCTCCAAGTAGTGTTTACGTTCTGGAAACAGTGCCAGCATACGCCCAAGATGGTAGTCTACTAAATGGCAACGGAATATTCAGTCGCGTGTTTTGGGCATTTCAACCATGCATCACAGGGTTTGCATCATGCAAACCAATTATACAAATTGATGGGACTTGGTTGTATGGGAAGTACAAAGGCACGCTATTGATGGCAGTTGCACAAGATGGCAATAACAACATTTTCCCCATTGCCTTTGCCCTTGTCGAGGCGGAGACCGGTGGTGCTTGGAGCTTTTTCCTGAAAAATCTGCGGACACACGTGGCTCCTCAACCAGATCTCTGTTTGATCTCGGACAGACATGCCTCCATTGAAAGTGCCTACAATAATCCAGCAAATGGTTGACATGACCCTCCTTCTACGCATGTCTATTGCGTTAGGCATATCGTCCAGAATTTCTCGAGGGAGATCAAGGACAAAACATTGAGGAAAGCGGTTATGAATGCGGGATATGCATTGACACAACCCACATTCAAATATTACCGCAACGAGATCCGTTTGTCTAATCCGGAAGCCGGTAGGTGGATCGACAATATTCCGGTGGAAAAATGGACTAGGTCATACGACAATGGCCAAAGATGGGGGCATATGACAACGAATTTTATTGAATCAATGAATGGGGTATTCAAAGGCATACGAAACCTCCCAATCACTGCCTTGATAAAATCTACGTATTTTAGGATGGGTGCGTTATTTGCCAAAAGAGGTGAAATGTGGAATGCGGTGTTGCAATCTGGACAACTATGGAGTGAAAGCTGCATGAAATACATTAAAGCTGAAAGTGCTAAAGCCAAAACTCACATGGTTATACGGTTTGACCGACACAGCCACAACTTCATTGTGAAAGAGACAATCGACCACAATGAAGGCCTGCCAAGACAAGAATATAGGGTCATGCTACCTTCTCAATGGTGCGATTGTGGCATGTTTCAAGCATTTCGTATGCCTTGCTCTCATGTCATTACCGCTTGTGCTCATATCCATCAAGACGCGCTGCAACTTCTGTCGAACATTTACAAATCTGAAACGTTGCTCAATGTTTACAACAACAACTTTCCTTTGGTAGCAAAACCAGATTATTGGCCTGAATACGACGGCGAAATAGTGTGGCACAATGACCAAATGCGAAGGAACAAGAAGGGTCGTCCCAAAAGTAAGCGCATCACAACAGAAATGGACGATCTTGACAGGTTGGAAAGAAAGTGTGGTTTATGCCGTCAGGTCGGACACAATCGCAAAAACTGTCTGAATCGGGCGTCTGCCTCGATCACATAAATATTGTAATACATAAAATCTTTTCATAATTGTGTTGTAAACATTTGGGTTTTCCGTTAACAGATTTTGCTACAATTAATAAAACGCGTACAAGAATAATTAACGATATTCCATCTAGGAAATTACAACTGTTAACACAATTTCATCTGACCCATGCATCATCAACATTACATCGCTGTCTGTTTTGACTTCCTTCAACCACACATTAGGTCTTCCTGTCGCATGTGAGGTTGTTGTTCGTTTTCGCTGGATCCTTCGAATTTTCCCCCCCTCCGCAATGTCTCCATCTAGCTATCGCATCAACTCCCGCTTCAGACGCTCCATGGAGTGAATGTGTCAGAATTTCATTTTCATCGCAGGTTTCGTGGCAGAGAAGATAACGTAACCATCTCTGCTAAAAATCATAGGCGACGTCATGACGCAAATAACATAGTACAAAATAAAAATACAGTGCGAGAAAGTGTGAGAAATTTCGGAGAAATAGACGAATTATTTATAAAACAGCATTTTGCCCTAGTTTTGCCCTAGGAGCCAAGTGAGATGGCGCCTCCTCTCACTTTTAAGGAGGAGGCGCCATCTCACTTGGCTAAAAGTCAAGGGAGGCGCCAAGTGAGATGGCGCCTAGGACAAAATGTTAGGTGCATGCGCCATTTCAGATGGCTCCTCCTTTGGAGAGTCATCTGAAACATGGTTATTTGCGTAATTTTTTTCGAAATTCGATTATTTGCGAAATATTATTTTAATACATGGTTATTAATAAAAAAAATTCAATAATAGTAGGTAAAACAAATTAAAAATAAATAAAAAAAATGAAATAAGTAGAAGATTAGGTTTCCTTTTCTCACATGTTATTAATTTGTTAATTATACAAATAACATGCGTAACTAATTTCCATTTATACAATAAATTTAAAATAATGAAAGCCCACCGAACTAACTAACTTGCATAATCAAAACTAACCAAGTGGCTCTCGAATAAAGGTTTGTTGTGATTTATGAGTCCACGTATGTACTTTTCTCTCCATATAGATAAAACCCCGCTACTGCCACGTCACATATCTTCCCTTTTTCTTTCTTCCATCTTTCTCTCTTCTCTCTTCTTCCTTCTTCAACCTCAACATTTCCCTCCAATTTTCCATCTCTTCCATTCCATACATGGCAGTTAAACTACGGCACTGCAATTTTCCATCGCCAAGGTAATCAATCAACTTCATCTCTCTTTTCGTTTCTGTTCCGATTCACAATCGCAACTCGATAGTACACAAATCAATGCAACTGTTTAAATTTAAGCCCTAAGAAGTAGTAACGTTCTTGGAAGATTTCGCGTTCTTTGTTTCTTTCTATTGAGTTTAATCATTTCTTGGTTAGAATTCTTTGTTTATGTGTATTCTGTTTCTGATTGCGTTTTTCTTTAACAGTTCGTCGAATTCTTGGTTTTCCAAAGAACAACGCAATGCAGACGCAAAGGCGTTGAACTTGAACTTGAACTTGCATTGCCAGCTGGTAAATAATGGTAGAAGTTCCAAAACGAGATGCTTCTTGCATCGTGCTTTGTTTTGGAATAGTGAAAATGTTTTAGTAGGTTATAGGAAATATTCTTTGATATCGTGTAGACCTAGAAGGAAGGTAAAGGAGCTGTTATTTGCGGCTTCGGATGATGGTGTGACTGTTAATGAGGATTCTCGGGATAGTGGAGGTAGTAATGCTACTGACCTTGAAAAAATAAAGGTGAAATTGAATAGGCCGATGGTGAATGATGAGAATTTCTGTGAGGGGCTTCTGCAGTCTCTGTATGATGCTGCTAGGATTTTTGAGTTGGAAATTAAGGAGCAGAACTCGCTCTCGAAATTACCTTGGTTTTCGATAAATTGGTTTGGAGTAGATAGAGTTGAGTGGGAGAAGACACTGTCATATCAGGTAATTTCAGTACTGATAATTATTATTGACACTCAAATTTTGACTACGGCTTTGGGATATAGGATAATTTGGTTTTTCATTCTTCTATATAATATTTCCTTTTGTAGATTTGAAATATAATCCAAATGTATATGATTTATATTGATGGTGTGAAATTGTATCATGCTGATGCATATATGTTTTCTTCTGTTGCAACCATGCCATTGCTATTAGAACTGACACTGTCATTTCCCAGCTTTCTCATTCATCATATTTCCACATTTTTCAATAATTAAGTTTATGCAAAACTGAGAGTCAGGTTGCGTTAATTCTCCCAGGCTGCGGTGTACTCCTTATTGCAAGCTGCAAGTGAATTATCATCCCAAAGTGATGGGAGAGACAAAAATGTCAATGTGTTTGTCCAAAGGAGGTAGTATGTTGTTCTGTATTTTAGTTGAGTTTTTTTTGTACCACTTTCTTTCCGATTGCTCTTAGCAAAAAATGTAACATTTTGATCAGGAGGATTTAAAAATGTCATCAATTGTGCTAAACACTTCTGCCTTTCATTGAATTATATCTTATTATGTGAAGAATTTTTTTTTTTTGGGCTATTTCATAAATGTTATGATAAGCTGAAGTTATCTATATTACATTTTACATCTTTGACATGTTCCCTCATGAAAGAACCTTTTGGGTTTGAATCATGGACAGCACATAAGCCCACTGTCTTGTTCAACTTCAACTTTTGATTAAAATATTGAGTGGAGTAAGGATTGAAATTGAACTTATACCACTTGTTGTAAAGGGGTTGATATGATGCTATGGACCAACTTTGCCAAAAGCTAAAATAGGTAGATGAAAGAACAAATTTTGTTACATATCTAGCAGTATATTTGATTTTTTTATTTTAATATTCCCTCCATTTCAAATTATTTGTCCCATAAGGTTTTTCACATGAATTAAGAAAATCAATAAATAACTTCACGAGGAAGTCAATTTTACTAAACTGTCCTTCTTAACTAGTAGGCTATCAGACATTGTCATAAATGTATAATGAAATATAGTAGCTTGGAAGTGTTTCGGATAGTATTTATTTGGGGTCAAAGTCTGGAGAAAAGAGTTACCGCGTTGAAATAATTAAATGGCAGTGATTATATATTTTTTTTATTTCTCTAAAGCGGCAATTGATTTAAAATGGAAAGAGTATTATGATTAGATAGACCGAGAGAAAGTGAAAGAAAATATTTGAGAGGGAGAGAGAAAGTAAGAATTCTAACTAAATCAGAAAATGGCTGAATGACCAATTGAATTATTCAATTCTGTACACACTGATATTTAAAGAGGATAAACAATGAGCGAGTCTTAGAATGTTCTACGCGTATTCTGTTATAATAACATAACAGAATGTGCTGACTCAGCTTACAAACTAACTGTCATTATAGTTTTATAACTACTCTGACAGCTAAACAAGCTATACATACACATAGTAAAGAGAATGCATAGTAATACTAGCGTTATTCTAATAACTTATTAGTTGAGAAGTTTTATATAAGTGTCTGCTATTATACGGTTTGCATGAATCTTGATGTTAAACTCTGAACTCTGAAATATATACTCGTTTGTTTTGCAATAGAAATATGCTATTTATTGAATGCTATGAGAACCATCTCGTTTGAGTTTATGGCCTCGTGTTTAAAGTAGATACTTGTGATGCACAAAATGATTGCATACATGAAAACTTGCTTGACTGCCTGTTGATCTTTGACATGCTTTATGTTTGTTTCATTCAGTAATTCTTTGTTATTCCTTTTAGTTTTGATATTTTATTCTACTCCCTTTTTTGGGCTTTAACATGTTAAGTGGTTTATTGATACAGTTTACTCCGGCTTTCGGCTCCGCTGGAGAGTTTAATTAGAGAAAAATTATCAGCCAAACAGCCCAAAGCATATGACTGGTTTTGGTCCAAGCAAGTTCCAGTTGTAGTCGCTTCCTTTATTAATAAGATTGAAGGGTATGCATGTTTTATTAATAAGTTCCAGCAATTGCTTTGAATTCCATTTTAAAATTGGTTTATTTTTAAATAGGTGCGTTTATTAGTTCATGTTCTTTCATGTTTCATCCTTCACATATATATTTTTAAAGATAAATGCAAAAATAATCTTCAATGGATTTTCCAGGTCTGGAAAAGATATATGTGGGGGTTTAAGCAGTGCAAGTGATGTATCACTTCTTATGCTTGCACTAACAAGCATTGCTGTAATCATAAAAGTTGGCCCGGCAAAACTTTCATGTTCACAATTCTTTTCAATGAGCACGGAGATAACTGGTAGTTTGATGGACTTGTTGGTTGATTTAATTCCGATAAGCCAAGCCTATAGTTCTGTCAGGGATGCTGGTCTGTGCAGAGAATTTCTTGTTCATTTTGGTGCTCGAGCTGCAGCATGTGGAGGTAAAATTGAGCAAGGTTCACTAGAGGTTGTTTTCTGGGTAAATATTGCTCAAAGGCAGCTTCAAAAAGCTATTAATAAGGAAAGAATATGGTCAAGACTGACAACATCTGAAAGTATAGAGGTTAGTTCTGTGAAATTTTAAAGTCAACTTGTTTTGACCTTCTAAAGAGAGGATATTATAGAATCTAGATAAACCATATTCAGTTGAAATGATTATACTTATTTCTTTAACCTACTGTTGTGCTTAAAATGCATCATTCTAATATTTGACTGATGTGGTTTTGATATTCTGTTCTTGACTTGTTTAATTGTATTGACATCTGCAATTTTGTTTTGCTTTGGTGGGATCTGAAACTGTAAATTTTTTTTAACATCTACAAATAGTTCCTCAATATGTGAAAAAGTATAAAAAAATATTCAACTTAAATTTCTATTCAAAGAAGTGATGGGCCAAGATTACACTACATTAAGAAATTACAAGAAAAAGTACTTAGAATAAATAAAGTAAAATAAAATAAAATGAATTGAGAAATGAGTTGCATTGAGTATGATAGAGGTAGCACTCCTTTTCCGTTCATGTATATACTTTGTTATCAGTAAAGCTTCTATTTATAGTTTGCATAATGCAGGTTTTGGAGAAAGATTTAGCAATATTTGGGTTCTTTATTGCTTTAGGAAGAAGTACACGGTCCTTTCTTTTATCAAATGGTTTCAATACTCTAGATGAACAAGTTGATGATTTTTTAAGGTAGAACTTCCGTTATATGATATTCCTTTCTCCTACATCTGTTTTGATTTTAATGATTTCTTTTGTGTATTTGTTGATCCATATAGCCTTTTGTTATAGGCATCTCATTGTAGGAAGTGTTGTATATTATCCTGAGCTCTCGTCTGTAAGTTCATATCAATTGTACGTGGAGGTTAGTATGTATGATCATTCCATCTGACAGATGTGCTCCATTATTCAGTTACGTGGACTGATAAAATCCCATTGACTTTGCAGGTAGTTTGTGAAGAGTTGGATTGGCTTCCTTTTTATCCTGGAAACACCAATACTGCAAAACAGCTTCACATGCATAAAAGTAAACATGAAGGTCCTCCAAATGCTGAAGCAGTGCCCCAAGCACTAGATATTTGCTCTCATTGGATGCAGAGCTTTATAAAATACAGTACATGGCTAGAGAGCCCTTCTAATGTGAAGGCGGATAGATATTTGTCAATAGGGTAACTACACCAATGCTCTATTATTGTTTGATAAATACCAGTTTCTAATTTAAATTCTTACAAGTATTACCTTCTTCAATGTTAGGCACAAAAAGTTGTTGGAGTGCATGGAAGTTAGGATGCTAAAGTAAGCTATCTGGGAAAACACTGCATATATGCTGTTTTTTTACACTTTTATTGTTACAATTTACAGGCACTCATTATTTAAAACCAGAGTTTTAAAGCTCATACACTGTATATTTTAAAGAAAAAATGAAGAGAAGGAAATTATGAGATAAAATATTGAAGCTGTTGCATATGCATTTGTCATAGTCATTCAATATGAAACTTGAAGTAGTTCAAATTTTGTTTGGGTAGATTGTCCGTTGTGAGTGATTGTTTGTGTTTTTGGCTTTTTGCATCACTGGTTTCAAATGCAATAAATGTGGGAATTTGCTTCGGAATAGACATTCCATTGCTTTTGCTTGTGAAATTTACTGGATCAGTAGATTTAATGTAATGATACACATGTTTTGTGAGGGATAAATTGTTCCCGAGAAATCACTTAATAAAAAAAGTTGCACATAGTCACTCTTCAAATGAATCTAGAATAAAGGCCCTGCTGACTGGTTCCAACTCCAATTAATGATTTTTTTCACATTTAGCATGTTTTTAGTGGAGTGAGCTTAATCTCATTACTTATGTGTCAAAGTTGTTATCATATTGTGTATGCATGCCTTTGAGTCTCACATCTTAACAGTGTACTCTTGCGTCTTGGTTAGATCCTAGACAATCCTTTAGGAAATAAACTTAGAGGTTGTTCCAAATGGTGTGTGTTTTATCTCCAACACTATCATTATATGGCTGCTATATAAGCAATCTGTTACTAAGAACCTATGAAGCGCCGACACGCCATTCACACGGCGTGTCGGACATGTGTCCGACACGGATACTCGTACGACACGTATTTGACACGTTTTTGAAGTGTCCAACGAAAAAAAATTGAATCGGAACGGACACGGGTACGACACTTTATTTTAAATATAAACGCGGCTCAACAAAAAATTCAGATTTTTTTTTTTATAAAAAAAAAGCCCAACTCAAAAATAGGATTCTTTATGTTTTGTATTTTACTTCCCCTCTATGAAATCAATACAATTACACAATTAGTTACAGAATTAGGATCCATTGTTTTTATCTTTACCGCCATTCTTCTATTATAAATTTTTATTGATTACTGTTATATACAATTCCTGAATGCTTTGTGTAACCATCTGGAACCATGTGGGAAACTATTCAGACCATCCACTTTACAGAGAATTGCTAAAGAGTTTTATATTTGTGTGTATACTACTGTCACTGAAATTGGAACAAAAGATAGGGACGAATATACTCCAAATGTCCTTCACAAAAAGGGTCTTTCCCGTCACTTTATAGACAATCAAATTCAAATGTACTGAATGGATCTCCCCTAATCTGTTTTCTCTTATTTATATCTAACCGATCCCCCTCCCTTTCCCTTCTAACTAACTAATTTGCTAATGGACTAAATTATAGAAATGTTTTCATTATTCTATCTAATGATGCATCCAAATACTATGCACATTTTAGTATCTAAGATGCAATTCATGTTTCTGGGGACCGATTATATACTCTATAAGAAAGTAAACAAAAACTGAAAGTAATGATGCAGTCCATGTTTCCCGTCATTTTATGTCTTTTTTTTATTGATTGAAAGTACTAAGTTTAAATAAACAAAAGTTGTTACTTCTCATTTTGAACTCTTTATAAATTATGTTCATAAATTGCATTATTATATTAATATATAAATATATATAGCCGTGTCCGTGTCCTCTGTTTTTTATATTAGCGGAGTCTTCGTGTCGTGTCCCGTGTCTGTGTTCGAGTCCGGGCTTCATAGCTAAGAACTAGTTTTGCATTCAGCCTTCATTACTCAATGTAGACTTGCTAGTTTAGATGTTTCCAAACTATTTGTATCAATGTTTCAACAAATTTGTGGAGATACTTATACTTTTGTTTTAATAGTATTTGCTGAAACTTCAGACGCAATATTGACACATACCCGATTCTAATATAAATATTTGCTTATTCCAAAAACAGTTTCTCTTAAAATGTCTGGAGTACTTAAGTTCGTGAAATGTGATGCAGAGATAAGACATTGGAGATCTGTGCCAACAAAACAGTTGAAAGATCTGCAGTTCATTCAAGTGCAATTGTGTCAGATTCTTTTGATGAGGTTTTAGTTCTCATTCTCAAAATATTAATTCCAGCTAAATGATGCAAGTTTGTCAAATTAGAAATCTCCTAGAGTTGCAAGTATATAAGTTTGATTTCTTGATTTTTGTTTCGGTTTTTGAATATATTAGTTGTCAACATTCTTTTAATATTCTTACTTCATACTCCACTGAATGAACCTTGAACCTTTTGTTTTGACATATCTTCAGCTAGGTCCTAATGCTATGGATTAACTCTGGCCTTTACTTTTCAGGTTTTACAAAATGTAGAAGAAGTTGTGCTAAGACTGGAGAGTTTGCTTCGAGAGTTGTATGCATCAAGTGCTAGTTCTAGAAAAGAAAATTTGAAAGCAGCCTATTCTGTTCTGGAAAAAATACGGAAGCTCAAGAAGGAAGCTGAATTCATTGAGGCATCTTTCAGAGCAAAAGCAGATTCACTACAAGAAGTATGACTTTTTGTCCTCCGCTTCCTTTTTCAGTCAGTTCCTTGGATAAGACCATTATAGTTAAATGTTGTTGTGATTACTTTGACTTTCACAGCCGTCCATTTTACATTTCAATGGCTTTTGCTTAATTTCCCTGAATTGGTTTTAAAAGTTTATTTAACATAACATGTATGCTGGAGGAAAGCAATTTTCTTTTTGATACGCCACTTAAGGTGTCCTGGCAATTTTCTTTTTCAAAATAATGAAGTGTTACTACTATGAGTTATACTAAAATTTATAATTTCTTTGCACAGAAATTTATCGTTCTCTTGCTCGACTTGTATTTATCCCAGTAGTCACATATTTTCCTTTTGGGAATCTTTGTATTTTGTTATCGATGGCAATTTTTGTTATATTCATTCATGAAGTTGATGTTGGTCAGTCCCACAATCCAGTTGGTGCAAAGCAAGAGTATTTTAAAGAAAAGAGCAGAAAGAGTGCTAATGTGGATAGAAGCAAAAAGTATGAAACATGATTGCTTGCTATTACTTTTTATTCAGTATTTGTTTTCTGAAAATTCACGATTACTTGATATTATTATTATTTTATTATTATTATTATTATTATTATTATTATTATTATTATTATTATTATTATTATTATTATTATTATTATTATTATTATTATTATTATTATTATTATTGTTATTATTATTATTATTATTATTATTTATTATTATTATTATTATTATTATTATTATTAATTTTTTTTTTTGAAAAAATTATTATTTATTATTTATGTTTATATAAAATATGTGTTCTTTTCAGATACATTGGCAAATCTCAGGGGTTCAGAAACGACTTTGTACAGGTTCAGATTCATCGGCATATTTTTTTACCATAGTTTCATGATTCTGATCTGCGTTTAACGTTATTAGGGTAATAGCTGGCTGTCTATTTGGTTTTGCTGTTATTGTTGTTATTTGTCCTTTGATATTTCTTTTCATTGTCTGCTGTCTAATAGCAACTCCAGAATTACTGTATAGTGCATGGAAAACTGAACATTTGGTTGCTGGCACAAAAATAGATTGTATTTGGTATTTTCTGTAAGTTTAAGTGATAACTACGTAGTTGTTTAAAATAAATGACTGGCTGTTTGAATAAGCAATTTTTCATGTGTGAAGAGGTTCTGTTAAGACTTAAGAGTGAGATTAATTACCAAAAGTATCTTTCTGGTATGTTGGTTAAAATACAATGTTTGGAGAACATTTTCCTTTGTTTGGTGCAAGAAGCATTCTGCAGACAACATTCTCTCTCAAATTAAGTTAGAGGAGCTTATGATACAATTTAGTTTGCTCTTAATATTACCTAATAATCTTTCAATATGAGGTTTTCTCGTGCTTTACTTTGTTTGCAGAAAATTATCTATTCTAATTTACTTAATCGGTATTATTTTGAATGTTGAGTAATGTGGGATTTGATATCTTCTTTGAAGGACAATATTATCGAACTGTTTACATCAAATGAAGATATCCTGGACCCAGAAGCCAGTGATGTCCATCGCTTTAAAAATCTGAGAAATGAGTTAGTTGAACTTGAGGGACGGGTTAAAAAAAGTGCTTATGAATCAGTAAAGGACGATGTATATCTTAAATATCTCCAGTCTGTCTTCCAGCGTCTGGCTTATTGAATTGTAAGCCTGTAGTACACATATTTCCTTTAAGATTGTATTTGAGAGACAACTCGTAAGAGACTGGAGATAATTTTCCGAAGACTATCTACTAGTAGTCAGTTTCTCTTAATATAACTTGGTATCAGTAAGTGATACATACACATCAGCTTATTTTGTTTCTTACCGGACATGTGCAATTTTAAAATTTGAGTTGTCCTACTAACTCCCTGTAATTGATTACCTTGTTATGATCTATTTGTTACCATGGAATTTTCGCTTAGAGTAAGCATTGAATATTACCTTTACAGGAGTTGGGGCTTATGGATGATGGTGCTGGACATAGTGATGATGCTGGAGTTGTTCAGATGGTCCAAATTCAGAAGGAAGGAGATATCATAAAAAAGTCTCTTAGCAAGCTAAAGGAAACAGGAACAGTATGGCTTAGTCTTAAGACTTTTCTTTCTTGGAAACATTATGTTGGTTTAGCATATGAATTCACCTGCATCATCACATTGATCAGATGAATCCGACAGTTCAATTCCCTCCCTTAACCAATTTCTCTGAATGAAATTGGCTACCGTAATATGTATTTCTAAAAAGCCAATGATAATATTGGCAATGCCATCCTTATCCGTAACCCATAATTGTTTCTTGTCTCTAACATGAGTTCTGATGCAAACAGGATATTTGGCAAGGAACTCAACTTCTAGCTATTGACGCTGCCGCCGCCACGGTTTTAGTTAGAAGAACCATAATGGGAGATGAATTGACTGAGAAAGAGAAGAAAGCACTCAAGAGAACCTTGACTGACATGGCTTCGGTTATTCCAATTGGAATTCTAATGCTTCTTCCGGTGAGTTCTGCATGTTTTAACGATTCAAGTTGGGCTAAATATGAGGGTAAAATTTTCTAACGCTTTAGTTAGACAGTTATAATGGCTAACAAAAATTAAAATTTGAGCGATACAGTGTATATATAAAATATGGTCATTGATTAAAACAAAACAAAAGTTGAAGTATAGATTAATTATTATTTTTTAAATTGTTACCATCTGAACCACAAAACTCCATTGTCTCATATCGGACATCCAAGAGTAAAATTCCCAACTTGTTCTTTCTATTGTCGATGCTCTCCTTCCTCCAACCCCTTCTTTCCCTCATCCCTCATCTTCCACCATTTATTCTCCCCAACTCTCTAAATTGTTTGTACTCTGCACCAATCATTGAACAATAGACATGAGAAGAAGTTATGCTATACTTTAACGGTTTGCATATTGTGTTATTTTGTTTTTCTGGTATTTAAAGGTTTATCAAGTGTACCCATAAAGAATGAGATATTTGTTTCTTTTCTCTAGGGAAGTTGGTCAATATGTCAATATGTAACATATATTTCTTTTATATGTTATATACACATAACATAACATGTGTCACATAATTTACATGACTTTTATTTCTACTGCCCATTTGTCTTTCTATTTCATTATTTTCCTTTTATTCATCAGTATCAATGGTCTATAATCCCATTTCTGTATGTTAAGAATAACAAGAACTTAGCTATTTTGACATGCGGGAAGCACTTCAAATAGAAAATTGTAGAGTTATAATCATTGATTGAAAAAGCAGCGGTTAAAATTATGACATAAGTATGAAATTACAAAAAAAGTGCACCGATTACTCTAGAGGAACCAAATCCATGCACCTAAACATTACTCTTTCTATTATGATCGTGCTTTTTGGGCATTCTGGCTCATCCACCGTCATTTGCTTCAAAGCTCAACAATTGAATAATATTTTGCCATCTTGTGAAGCTGATGATCGTTAGTGCACAAGAATCAATGATAAACAAAGGAATATATTTAAGAGAGTAGAGAATGACGGCTGTAAAACTGCAAGAGGAATAAAATATTGTTGTATTTATGACATTTACAACTAGTTTATTTATACACAAAAAAGGAATGTCACATAGGCCCTAATAGAATAGACTTAATAACAAAGTTATCAAAAACAATAGAAATACTAAAATATCCTTTAATAAAGATTAGGCGATGTAAAAATCCTATTTTATAACAGTTGAGAGGGTAGTATAACATCTATTATCATGATTTAAAGAGATTCCTTCTCCATCGTTTCCCTAGTTGGTTTGGCACTTTCAAAATTTGACATGGTCATTTTTCCTCTATAATTTTACTGCAACTTGGAAATATTTTTTATCTTCATTCTTTACCTGTGATGTACGGCACTGGTCTTTGAGAGTGATTTAGAGTTATAAGATAAAGAAAAAAGAGAAGAATGGAAAGCTATAGAAACTTCTTACTGGTTCTGGTCTTTGAGAGTGATTTAGAGTTATAAAATAAAGAGAAAATAGAAGAATAGAAAGCAATAGGAACTTCCTACTGTTTCATATACCTATATTTGGTAGATTCTTACAGGTTATTGCTGTTGGTCTAGTGTGATGTTCTGAATAGCCATATTAATTGTTTACAGGTTACTGCTGTTGGACATGCAGCCATGTTGGCTGCTATTAAGAAATATGTACCAGCGCTGGTACGTACATTCTGATTTGTCTGCTTTCATGTTAGATCTCCTATCCATAAATTAATTCTCTAATCATGAAGTTGAAGGAAATATGATGTATCTTCTTTTTGGCAGATACCATCGACTTATGCACCAGAAAGGTTGGATATCTTGAGGCAGCTTGAGAAAATGAAGCAAATGACACCTAGTGATATGGGATCAGACAAGGAAGTAAATGAATTTAATTAAACATAAAAAAGTGCATGCGGATTTTTGTGTAGCATAGCTAGAAAATTATCATTCTTTGTGGGGTAGTATACAAACTGGGGGTTAGCCCTTCTTTATCAATCCCAAATTTCTTGAAACAGATTTCAGCATAAAGAATTTCATTCCACATTGCTGGCATTCTCGATGAGCACCAACCGGTTACAATTTTGCAGGGCCCAATACTTAGAAGTGTGGCGATCTTTCCTTTATACTGACAGATATGTGATGTTCAAAAACTTGAAATTTCCAGCTTCCATATTGTATCTGTTAGATAATCAATCATAGATGCATATAGTTTGGTTATTATTTGGTTAGGTTTCAAGTTGTTGCACTCTGTACAGGGTTATTTTATGTGTATGCTCTTCCTGTATTCCACGGTCATTGTTCATTTATTTAAAACCTAACTGAACATATCTTATTAATTAAGATTTCTTAAGCCTCTTAAAGAATTTTCTTAAAGAAATTTTTTAGAGCCAAAATTTAGTAATTTTAATTTAAAAAATATTAATTTAATAATTTCAAAATCTCTTTTTGTTTATTATTTTTAATTAATTAATCTATTAGAAATGGCTAAAAAATAGGAGATAGAAATGACTAAAAAATAGAATATACTTATTTAACTTATCAATTTTAAATAATAAGATATATTATTTTAATTTAAAAAATATTAATCTAATAATTTTATAATCTCCTTATTTATCATTTCTAATTAATTAATATATTAGAAATGACAAAAAAAATAGGAGATAGAAATGACAAAAAAATAGAAGGTACTTATTTAACATCATTTTTAATTAATTAACTTATCGTTTTTAATTAATAAATTATATTAAAAACTATTAATTAAATTGGAAAATAACAACTAATATATATTTAAACACCTATGCTAACCTTCAAAATACATTTTATTTATCCAATAACTTCATAATTTCTATTTATCATTTTTAATTAATAAGATATTAAAAATTGCTAAAAAAATAGGAGATACCTATTTAATTAAATCAAAAAAAGAAGAGAAGGTTGTAATGTTTCTTTCTAAGTTTATTTTGTTAGTATTTTATTTTATTTTTCTTTGTCTAAGAAGGAAATATGATAGCATTTTTAGTCAAAAAATAGAATCTCAAATTTGTTTATGAGTTGAGTGATTTTAAAGTTTTAAATTTTCTTTTGTATTACATGTTGGTTTGAAATATTTCACTGACTGTTCAACACTCATTTTACTCTACATTACATTCAAATTATCAATATAATATATGTATATTTATTTTATTTTTTATATATATTAGACTAAATCGTTCACTTCAATTGAGAGTCAAGTTTGTTGATTTGATGTCAATTATATCTTAGTCTTCCTTAACTAATCTATATAATCTCTAAAAAAATTATAATTTTTTGATCATACTCTAAATTTATTTATTGTATATTCAATTCTATTTGATAATATATAATATTTAATTTCTTTGATATGCTTTTTTAGGTACATATATTGTTGAAAAGTTTTTATATAACTTTTATAAAAGACCGATGACTATATTTTTTATAGTATAAACTTTGACATTACAATTTTTTATTTTCTTTTATGTTTTTGATATTTGTGTTTCATTAAATAATAATTAAATAAAAAAAATCTAATATACTAAACTCATATTTCTAAATAGAAAAAAAGTATCCACTTGCTCTGTGTTATATTTGATTTTTTTTATTATTCTTATTAATATAAGTAAATATTATTATTTACTCTCAATAATCATTAATAATTAAATAATTTAAATATTAACTAAAAAAATAAGATATATAGTTTTTTCTTATGACTTAAAAGATAGAAAATGTAATTTTCTTAGTCATATTATGTACAATTCTACTACTCCATTAACTCACAATTTATTCATAAATTTTATATATTCAATAATTACTTATAACCTATTAATTATACATAATTTTTTTAGTATATGTTAACCCAAAAAAAAAAAAAGACAAAATAAATAATATATTATAGAACTTCACAGTGAAATAATTTAAGATTCTCAATTTTTTCTATTTATTTTTATTTTTATTTTCTTCTTTCACTATTCCTTCAAAAAAAAAATTTCTTTTTTTTTTCTTTCTAATATTATTGTTTGTTTATTTACAAATTTAAAATAATTTATAATTTTATCTTTATCTTTTATCGTTATATATAATGTATAATATAATAATTTAGCCAATTTAAAAATGATAATGTTTTATGTGTAGATTTTTTCTGACTATATATAAATTTTATTATTTTATACTCTTTTAATTTTTTTTCTTATTCTTAATCATGTTAAAAATATATTTTATTTTTCAAAAATAAAATTATTGTCAATTTATTTTCATAAAAAGTACAGTCAATATAAAAAACATTTATCATCTCTATTTTAAATTATTTTTATATTACTGTAACAATTACCAAAACTAATTTAGTAAAATATATTTGTGCATCGTAATCGTGACACAATTTGATGTTTAGGTCATTTCACAATTAGGAAAACTGTTTATAAAATGAGGCAAGAATAAAAAAGGACAGAATTGTGTATGCTTGCATTGAAGTAACAAGAGAGCATGATTAACTAATCATACTATATAGTACTGTGATATATTTTTTCGAATAAAGAGGTTCCTTCTATAAGGGAAAATATAATCACTTAACTCCTTAGTTTTAGGAGAGATATAAGGAAAATAAAATAATAAGATTGTGTCAAGTTAGTTGGAGAGGCGCAGATGATCTTGTCAATTTAGTTGATAGTGTGTTGGAAAACTCGGAGCAAGGTAACTCAGGTTGTGTGGGTGTTCCTACTCAGGAGAAAGATACGAAGATGGGCTCTAATATCAAGCAATGCCTTTGTAAGGTTGTAGATGGCCATTCCATAGTGGCTATAAAAGTGTTAGTGTCATCCGGTGTGGCTCCCTATAACGAATATACAATGAAGGCTTTGGAGGCTAAGCACCCGTACAAACCATCTCCCTCCATGCCGACCACCTTATTCTCACAATCTCCTATAGTGACTGATGCAGATACTATCTTCAAGTATATTAAATACTTTCCCAAGGGGACGTCACGTGGTAGAGATGATTTGCGTGTTCAACATATTTTAGATGCACTTTGTGGAGAAGGTTCTACTGTGGCGAAAGATCTTTTATACACAATCACTCTAGTTGTTGACTTATGGTTAGGAGGAAGATATCCCACGAGTTTGTCGGAGTTTGTTGCCTCTCCACCATTGACACCGTTATTAAAGTCTGATGGTGGGATACAACCAATTGTTACGGGTTCTATTTGGAAGCGGTTGGTATCCAAGATTGATATGAAAAAGGGTCGGTAAAGATATGGCATGATACCTCAATGACTTTTAGTTTGAGGTTGGGCTATCGGGTGATGTTGAGGCTATTTTGCATAGTGCCAAAAGGGTGTTAAGCAAGCGCACAAAGATGGTTCATTGGCTATGTTCACTGTATATTTCTCGAATGCTTTCAACATGGTAGATCGATCAGCCTTATTGCACGAGGTGAGGGTGAGATGTCCATCTATTTCTTTGTGGATTGAGTTTCTTTATGGTCAAGCAGTAAGTTGTACCTTGGGGATGAACATATTATATCAACCATCAGAGTGCAACAAGGTGACCCGTTAGGGCCGCTCCTTTTTTCTCTTGTGTTATACTCACTCATTCATCATGTTAGAGACAATTGTAAGCTTCTTCTTCATGCCTGGTATCTTGATGATGAGACTATTATAGAAGACTGATAAGAGGTGGCTAAAGCCCTTGATATCATTCAGGAGACAGGTCCAGGATTAGGTCTTGAATTGAATATTCGTAAGATTGAGATCTTTTGGCCTTCATGTGATGGTAGTAAATTTTGTGAGGATCTGTTCCCATCAGAAATTGAGAGGTCGATGTTAGGGATGAAGTTGCTTGGAGGAGTTGTTAGTCGGGATGACGGTTTCATTAAGGAGTTGTCCAAGAAGAGAGCTTCTAAGGCTATTGTGATACGGTGGGAGAACTGACTTGAGGTTTTGCGTTTGTGTTCGCAATTGTGCGGTTTAGCAAGAGTCGCCACCGACTTTTTATTTTATCCAAAGGAAAGGTCAAAAAGCACAGGAAAGACCTTTGAGATGTTTTCTTGGGTTCGGGGGGTAGATTATGAAAAGGGAAGGTGCAAGCACCCTTTTCATCCATGGTTTTCCATGGGCTCTTAGTTACTTGTTTAGATCACTTGCTTTTACTTTTCAATTGTTTGAAATGGTGCTTTGTGTATGTGGTTTTGAAAATGCTTTGAAAAAGAGGCCATCGTTGTGGCAACCTTTGTAATGATTCTTGTTTGAATATATACAAAGGTGTTTGTCTTTTGAAAAGATATTTCAATGTTTTGAAAGTTTGATTTGGGAAATGTTTTGAAATGTGTTGTGAAGTGTGTTTGAAAATAGCAAGGATGTTTTGCAAGCTTTTGATCAAGTAACTAAGAGTTGTCTACCCTATTTTACTCAAAGATCTTTTCTATGCGTTTTTAACCCTTTTTGACAGTGTTGTTTTACAATTGCATTTGATAAACAACCTTGTATTTGGATGTTAAACGGGACAGGCGCGGGTCATCGCATACAATCATTGAAAGCAACTTGTGAGACGCTCTAGCAATTTTGTAAGGGACGAGATCATTTTTTCGAAGGCAACATCGAGGGTCATCGAGGGACTACGATCTTTGTTTATCGAAGGGGCATTTGCTAGAGTGTCTCATATTCGAGGGACATGATTGCATTTCCGAGGCAACAAGCGAGGTTACCCTAGAGGTGCAAGTGTGCATTGTGTTTGTCATTTTCATGCATTTAAGTCTTGTATTAGGTCATCTAGCGATTAATTTTGGATTTTCGCATATAAACCCTAATCTATAATCATGGCATATTTGAAAGCATAAAGTGCGAGAATTAAAAGTCTAAGCTATTACAAAAGTATCTGGGGATGAGGGTACAA